CTCCGCCCGCTTGCTGATGGATTTATCGAACTTTATAACTTTATCCTCCGACATCCGTTTTCAGTGGTTCTTCACGGATGAATCTACACATAAGAGGCAACCTTCTCAATAGCCACACTATGCACCACCTCCTCGGTCACGCCCCTTTTAAATTTTTATGTTTTTTTGGCGAATTTTATTAAAATGCTGGAAACTTTCTAGAAAAAATATTCTTATGATGCACAATATTTTGGCACTCGGAGCTCTATGAGCTCTCATATTTGAACGCCTTTCCATTTCCTTACACTCAGTGACCCACACAAACTTTTCTGGGCCCACCCATCTCCCGTAACTTCCTTGCCCGCGGCCCATTTTGAAGACAGTCCCCGCGCTCCAGCATCCGCAAGTGCCCTCCCTTCTATAAAAAGGTCTGGTCCTCAGTCCCAGACCATGAGATTATTCTTTTTTTTTCGCGGCTTCACAGGAAGTAGCGAAAGCGCTGCTGCTCTCGCAAGTGGCAGTTCTGACGCCTCTATAGTTGTGCCGCCCACCAAAAGTCAAAGGCCATTCTCTGTCGGCGAGTTCAGTTATTACGCAGTGTTTTTCGTTTTTTCTCACTGTGAAATGGTACTAGCACTGACGCGAAGAAATGATTAGTGACCTAGAAACGGAAGGGTATCGCTTTGCTGGCATAGAACGAGCAGATCCGGACAACTCGTCCAGAGAGGCTCCCAGGTGTTTACTTAGACCTCCGTGATTTTTTTTTCCATTCTTTATTCCCTGAAGTGTCATTTAGCGACTATAGGCTTGTAATAGATGCCACTATATAATATACGATTGCGGGGTTTGTCTTCAACCATGAGCTACGAAGGCAACTTCGATTGCGTGCATTGCGATTTGCATTTCTGGTGATGTTTCTGAAGCACTCACCTTTTGTGTTCCTCATAATGCTGCGATTCCGTGACCGTTTTCAACAAATCCAATTTGACTTCCATCCCTTTGAAACCCTTAATGTTCATGTTATTAAAGTATAGCTAAAACACAAAGATCCACACTGAAGCTCAAAGGTTTTTCGACCTAACTAAGAGCTCCAACTATCATACTCAGATCGCCTAACTTGGGGAACGACTTTTAGCCCTTAAATGAATGCATACCTATCAGTCATGATCCCTATAAGCGACAGGGCGTGTGACGGGTACATGGCTTGGAGTACAGCAGTAAGTAATTCTCATCAACAGTAATCAAGGTCAAGGCTGGCATCACGTGGTGAAAAAGGCGCCGCCCTGGCTGCGCTTGGGCCGGTCCACACCGCGTCACACGCCTCATTTGTGGAGATCATGACTATAAACGCGGGTGGTCCAATTACCACGCGACGATGGAGAAGAAGCAATCTAAAGACTAGCTCCCGAGGACACCCAGCGTCCTTTGTTTATTTATTTATTTATTACTCGTTTGTTACTCGTTTTTGTTCGGAACCCTCCACTTATATGGAAGTAGAACGCTCACGTAGGCGATTTGAGGGAGCGACATGGTCTATTCTTTTTGTGGAAAATAAATGGTCAGCTGCGTAATTTAAAACTAACCGTTGAGAAGTTGTGGTTCCATGTGTTCTTGCTGGGATCGAACGCCATCACCCCTCTCAGAATGAGCAGTTCACTGCAGCAACCTGAACTCATTTCTTGTAAACGATGACTCTTTGACCAAAAACCTGACCAGAAACCTTTCATAATATTCTTTTTGTCTTCAATGTCTAGGGCTTGGAAAGCTGCCAGATCCCTAGCCATACACACAATCCTCTTCAATCCTGCTTCGCTGATTTTCACCACATCCATCAGCGTCAGTTCCTCCTTGAAATGGAAATCCAGCGGAGCTTTCAGGGGCTCATTAGCTCTTATCAGCTCCTGAAATGATGCAGGAAGATGAGTGACACCAAAGGAACTGAAAGTGGGGGAGAAAAGGGTAAAGTGGTACGTGCAAATTTTTGCGCTCAGTTCAGGTTCAGAGTACTCTTAACTTGGCACAATCACTTTCCAAAACAGGGCTCATCGTTGTTGAGAATTCCGATACAGGTGAAGGGGATTTTTCCCGCGGTTTCGCGGTTTCTCCCGTTCCAACGCGCTATTTACAACCCCCCCCCCTCCCCTCGTTAGCTTGATGAGGAGGGAACCAGGGGGACGGTGCCAAAATGCAACCACAACAGAGTAGCAGAATACGAAGAGCTTCTTTTCTTCCTTTATATTCTTCGTCTCCCTCATCTTCCTCTTTCGCCGTCCTCGTGCTTCATTTCCTTCGCATTTTCCGGGACACTCTTTTCCAAAACCTCTGTTTCCCATACTAGATATTAGCCGGAATTGATGTTATCGCTCGTACCACTTCATACCGACTTTTAAAAGATAAACAACAACCTGTACAAGTTGCAGGTCCTCAGGTGAAAGTTTGGCGTACTTACTCTCGTCGAATGCTCCTTGTGTGGGCAGAGCGCACTTCAAGCCCGATGAACACACAGCATCTTGGTATTCTTTCATTTATTTCTCACATATTGCGTGAAAACTTCAGTAGAGTACAAAGAAGTTCCGCTCGGGAGCAATCATAGAGAAATTATTTTTGTTCCGAAACTATACAGGCTCCTGAAGTACGTAGGGGGAAGGAACTAGACGATTTTCATAGAACCAGGAAATACTTTCCTTGCTCTCGAAAATTCACGGTGCGGCACTAACAACTTTGGAGGGGATGTTTAAAGTACTCGAGCGCAAAACTAGAATTACTCATCGTAAGAAAGACAGGGCTTTTGCATGACCCCATTGAAGAGAAGGAACAATTAGTGGGTGGAAGATTCCAGGAACGGTTATACTTCCTGAATGACGTTTATCCCAGTTTTGCACATGGGGTCCTTCTCTGCGTTCATACTTTGCGGCAGGAGGGAGGAACTAGAATAAGCGCTTCGAGAGTCCGGCAGCGTAAGCGACTGGGAAAAAATTGGTATCGATCTAGCGTCTGCCAGCGTCTACCAGCGTGCACCAGTGTCCGAGAGAGGATGTATTGCGCGATAGGAAGGTAGCAGACAGCTGGTAGAGTATGTGGAAATAGGAGGGTAGCAGCTGTCTGCTACCCTCCCATAGCGCAATACTCTCCTCTTACGGACGCTCAGGGAAGCTAGTGCACGCTGGGAGACGTGGTGCATGCTGGTGGACGCTGCAGACGCTTGATCCATGTCTATACTTCCCCAGTCGTTAGGCTGCGTTTACACTTTGCGGCAGCGTACGCCAGCGTACGCTAGCGTTTCCAGCGTTCGGCAGCGGCAGTGGCAAGGGAAGGATGGATATCGATCTAGCGTCACCAGCGTACGCTAGCGTAACGCTAGAGTATTCTAGCGTAGCGTTCGATTGCGCGTGCTCCGAAATTGCAGCGTGTGTAGCCGCACCGCAGTACTAATACCGTACACTAAATTCGTTAAATTGCATAAATATGTGGTTTAGCTGTTGGAACGGAATGTTTTTTCCATTGTCGCACCGGAATTGAATTGAACTATGAAAACGCTGGCTTTTGCAGGTACCATCTCCTTTTTTAGGGCTGATCTGCAGGAGACTTGATCTTTTTCTGGGGACTTTAGTAATTCGTATGAACGGTTTCTGGTCGAATATACGGCTGACAACATGCTCATTCTATAAAAGATCCTAGATGGTCCCACGCTTATCGTAATGATGATGGAAATGATCGGTTCATGCTTTGCATTTATGCGTTATGCAATTCAACCATTGCATTATGCAATTCAACCGATTCACTGTACGGTATTAGTACTGCGGTGCGGCTACACCAAGGCAGATCGCTGTTGGGGAATCCCCAATAGCGGGGTCGTATTTGGCCGCCAGTAGAGGAGGGGGGTCGTATTTGGGCTGGAAAAAAACAAGTGGTGAAGACCGGGGCGGCATCGGGTCAAACCCAGCCCCTGGCACACCCTAGAATCGCAGCGAAAACGACTGTACCATCTATCACAAATCTCATTGGCTCTTCCCGCCCTACACAAAACGATTCGGTACCAGCTACTAACCTGGTGTCTGCAGAGGTTGCATCATGGGGCTGAACGCTACCATTGAAGAGGACGACATGGGTGATTGTAATGGTGTGTAGGACCTTAAAAGATGTGTTCATCAGTCTGCACAGAGGTTTGATCCGCACATGGCAGTAGTGGCAAGGTCTACTTACGGTTGTACTGTTGAGAATGCGGACAACATAACATTTGAGCCAATCCCTGGAATACAGAGAAGACCCTGAGAAGACGTGAAACCATTTGGCAGCTCGACGTGACCATGATTACGAAGTTGTGAAGTCGTCAGCCTTGCGAAATCGGACTTCTGACCGTTGTCCACGGAAGGGAAGAGACCTGGGAAGGATGGAATGGGTTCTTCCGATCTCGTAAGAGAAGATGGCACAAATGGAGTATGTATAGATGGTAGAGAGTTGTTTGCAGCAGTAGGTTGTTGATCCTGCAAGTAGCTCACATCCGGCTCAAGGCACATCCTAAGGGCAAAAAGCAACCTTGTTAGATTTGATGGCGGTGAGACGAGTGTCTGGAGGATAGAAGCCACAAGTGCACCTACATTCACAACATGATCGTGGCCTGAAATTCCTTTTGACTGGCGCTGACCACTTGGAAAAAGCAAAAACTGTCACCAACCTCTTGGCTTTTCTAATCAATTCATTGAGGTACGCTTTGGAAACGCTGACTTCCTCAGTGGGATCTGCCTAGAAAAAATTCTTTCTGAGGGCGAAAAATATGTCGATGGCGAGTAGTACAATTGACATTACGATATTCCGTTTCAAAAGAGACGTAGATTGAAATGTAAGACCGCAACACCGAGTTAACCTTGGGCATGAGTTTGTTCATGCATGCACCAAAAAGGCGCCGTTCGCGACGGTGGCGGGAGGGCATTTTGCACTTTCGTTGCTTCACTAGTTCTGGTTACTGTCTCACTCTGGTGAAACCTGTAAACTCTTGTGAAGCTGGAGCAAGGTCGTCAAGCCATCATGGTAAAACCTGTCAACTCGAGAAGAGGCTGTCTAGATAGGTCGACACGTCGATGGGAAGAAGCAAAGTGCAAAATGCCCCCCCGTCGCCGAACTGCGCCCACCAAAAATGGGCTCAAATGGTGGGAGGCCAAAAGTGAGACACTTTGCCCATGGACATCTGATTCAGGGTGACAAAGTTTATGGAGGATCCATGGAAACCGACAGTCGTTCTCGCTGCCGACGCTGTGGCGTGTAAGGCTGCGTTTATACTTCAAGGCAGCGTAGCGTAGCGCAGCGCTTCCAGCGTTTCACTAGCGTTTGCCAGCGGCGGGGCTAGAGAGTATAGAAGAGTAGGAGAGTACAAAATACTCGGCGGCGCTAGGGAGTATATTAGGTTGTCGCATAAGTTCTTATACACGTGTTTGATCCTCTCCTATTTCGTTCGCATGGATGTTGGTATTACGTCATCACGTGTGCGTGACGTGTACATTATACTCTTTCATTACACTAGCTATCACTCACCGAGCTTGCATTTGCAGTACACAATGTCGCACAATTTGCACTGTGACAAAACGTACCTGCGCCACTGTTTGGTTTTGCTCCACGATTTCGGCTGGAATGCAAAGGAAGCCCATACCAAGCTGGTGGATACATACGGTGAGGACGTCATCTCTTACATGACATGCAAGAATTGGTTCGCCAAATTCAAGAAAGGAGACTTTTCTCTCGAAGATGCTCCGAGGTCGGGTCGGCCGATGGAGTTGGATTTGGAAGTACTACGTTCCACCGTGGAGGAGGACCCGTACCTCACCACCAGAGAAATGGCGACCATGCTTAGCTATGATCATTCGACGGTTGCACGTGGACTAGAAAAGCTCGGCAAGGTAGCAAAGCTTGGTCGATGGGTCCCACATGAACTGTCCGCTTATGACCTCTCGAGGAGGGTGACCACCTGCACTTCTCTCCTCACTTTCCAAAAGAGGCTTCACTTTCTCAACTCGATGATCACTGGAGATGAGAAGTGGGTCCTCTACGATAACCCTGTGAGGAAGCGGCAGTGGGTCGACAAAGGAGAACAGCCAGAAGCCACCCCAACCCCAAAAGGTTCTCCTGTCCTGTTGGTGGTCCAGAAGAGGCATGGAGTACTGGGAGCTGCTGGAGAAGGGACAGACGATTGACGCTTCCACATACGTGACCCAGCTGCGGAAATTGAAAGATCACGTCGACCGTACTCGTGGAAGGAATGCGGAAATCTACTTCCACCATGACAACGCCCGACCTCACACTGCAAAGGCGACCCAGGCCGAGCTGGAGAAGTACGGATGGCTGATGGTCGCCCACCCTCCCTACAGCCCTGACCTCGCTCCTTCTGACTACTGGCTGTTCAGCCACCTGCAGCGCTATCTGGACGGAAAAAAGTTCGAAACAAAGGATCAGGTCAGAAAGGCGCTCGACGACTTCTTCAAGTCCCAGCCTCCGTCGTTCTGGAAGGATGGAATCGACAAGCTGCCTGAGCGCTGGCGTCGAGTAGTGAATGGTGATGGTGCATACCTCTAATCTCCAGGCTGGTTCGTTTTTGAGATATTTACAAAAAAGTCGTGTATAAGAACTTATGCGACAACCTAATAGAAGAGTAGGAGAATACAGATTACTCTCCTACTATCCCATAGTCTCTACTCCCTGCCGCTGCAAGCGCTAGCGAAACGCTAGTGAAACGCTCGTGAAACGCTGGGAGCGCTAGATCGATAGCTATACATCCCGTGCCCTCGCTACGCTAGCGTACGCTGGTGACGCTGGGAACGCTAGATCGATATCTATCCTTTCCCCGACACTGCCGCTGGCGTACGCTGAAGCGCTACGCTACGCTGCCGCAAAGTATAAACGCAGCCTAAGGAGGGTGAGGGGGAGGCGGAGCTTCGACTCGGAGCTGGCTTCCTTCTCCACCATTTGTCAAAACGGGCAAACTACAATATCAGAGAAAATGGGTTGGCGCTGCGCCAAACCTAGCCACTCTCACACGCCCCTGTGCGGCGTATATCAAAGACAGTCTATAAGCAGGAACCAGCAGCTCATCCTCACGGTCACGACAAGTTGATACCCTTCGTCGTCGTCGAGCTGAAGAAGGCCCAGAGAGTCGGCGCTCGCCGGCAGCAACTACGTGATTTCAAGCGATGAGTCGTTTGCGCAGGTTCATAGAGTGTCGCTGTAGTGCTGAAAGAGATCAGACCATGAGTCAACGTCCTGGAATTCCAAGCACGTCCATTTGAGAGATTCAGGATCTATGGTTGATATCAGGGTCCGATATACATAATCAGGACGTCCGTTCGACCTTCCGGTCTGTATGAAAGAGGATTCACGGGTACTCTCCATGAACGAGGTGTATCTTTTATTGCCAACCCCTCCACTGCGTATGTCATAACTTACCCCATCATCGATGACTGATGCTCGCTTTCTGGTGCTTACTCGTGGTTTTTGATCAAGTAACCATGATCTGCTCATGCCAGCCTTAATTTTATAAACGTTGTAACCTTGACCTTTTCAATACATCCAGTCGTGTACAATACAGCTTACCGTGAAACATTTTTGTAATCGACACGCTTGGCAGAAACGACGGGAAGCTGAGTTAATCTCGCAGTTGCTCGAGAATGGACACTTTATCTCCTAGAAAAACCGTTGAAAAAAAGCACAGATAGGGTACAGTCATCCACTTACTTCCTCTTTGACGGCATTCCGACGAAAGAATGCTTTGCATGATTCGCATGTCAACACTCCAAAGTTGTAGCCATTGGCTCGATCACCGCAGACCTAAACTGCTGAACTGCCTCCAGAATTTTCTGCTATTCGAAAAAATCACGCGCTGTGGTTTTTACGCAACCCCTTCCGAACAACACGAAAAACCCACCCCTCCGACGCCATACCACTTCCAGTTCGTTTGAAGATTTCGGTATGCTTCTAAAACACATGTTTTCGCCAAGGATATCAGGAAATAGTTCATTGGCGCCGATTGGCATAACCTTTGTAATGCGCCATACATATGACTCTCACGCAGAGAAGGTGCAGCTTCTAGTAGGGCTTCCTCCGTGCAAGATGTGCTCCTGCGATCACTATGGTCCGAAAGTGCATCTCATCTGCTTATTAATTCATGACGTCGTTGTGGGCGGCCATCGTATTTCCTGTCATCGCCCGTTCCCCACTTCTGCGCTGGCAGGTTGCTTCTGTCTTGTGTGTTTCTCTTCAGGGGTTCTTCGCATAAATAAGCCTTTCATCAGTAAATCTGGACGACATCTGGATATCGCTGCACCCTTCAGAAAAGGCCCTGCGCTTACGAAACCCGCCCCCTCCCTCGAGGTGTGTACGACCCCCTCCTATTTTGATCATCATAACAATAGCGTGCCCTGTTCTCCTTTGTGAATGATAGAATGAAACTCGTCAAAGTCGTTTATCGCATAGACGACGTTTCGGGCTTTAAGCCCTTCTTCAGGTCTACACATTTAAAGCCTACACCAACATCATCTAACCTTACATACATCGGCAAGAAATCCAAAGGGGAAACAATCAACAAATAACTGACCGGCTTCCTTGGGGGAGGAGGGTCTGGGTGGGAGGGGGATCCGGGAGTATGCTGCAAGATGGTCTATGATGATGTGAGAAACAGTAACACGCAACATTGACTCACCTCCCTAGCTGTCCTTTCCTTCAGAAATGGCACAGCTAGATTGGTGAAGCAGTGGTGGGATGTTGATACACTGCTTTTGTCATATGTCACGTATCACCCGTTATGTCACATCATTGTGCAGCAATGATGTCCATTATCCTTCTGAGTTCCTCCCTGTTGTTGATCGGTGGATTCCTCCTTCGAATCTCCAGCGCTTCCTTTATTTTCCTTTCCACCGGGTCACTTATGTTCCTGTGGATCACGCGCACCTTTAGTTCAGGTGCACGCTCATTCGTGTGGCGCAAGGAACGATGTCTCGAGAAAGGGTTATCCGGATAGCTGGCTGGGTTCCGGAAAGCCCTCAGATGTTCATCAAGCCTTTTGTAGAGTGGTCGTCCAGTTTCTCCGATGTAGAATTCCGAACATGACGCACACTCCACTTCGTAGACGGTGTTCTTCAAAAGGCAGATCTTTCGTTCCTCCTGGCAGTAAAGACAGTTTTCGCGGCCACATCGGTCTTCGTATACTCGTGACGACGTAAGAAGACGACGTAGTGTTGGCGGCGGTCGCAATATCAAGCGGATTGGCATCCCCGAATTCTTTACAACTCGATTGACATCCTTCGCGAAGGAGTCTGAGAGAAAGGGAATTATTAGTGGGACGCCTCCTGGTACCTGATATGGGCGCCAACAATTTACGCGTCTGCTTCCATAGCCGTTTTCGAGAAGTATACGCGTCACGGTATCCATCACTACAGGAACATTTGTGGACGTCAACCTCCGAGCTGTTGTCCCTCATTCGTGTGGCGCAAGGAACGATGTCTCGAGAAAGGGTTATCCGGATAGCTGGCTGGGTTCCGGAAGCAGAATGAGCGGGCACCTGAACTAAAGGTGCGCGTGATCCACAGGAACATAAGTGACCCGGTGGAAAGGAAAATAAAGGAAGCGCTGGAGATTCGAAGGAGGAATCCACCGATCAACAACAGGGAGGAACTAAGAAGGATAATGGACATCATTGCTGCACAATGATGTGACATAACGGGTGATACGTGACATATGACAAAAGCAGTGTATCAACATCCCACCACTGCTTCACCAATCTAGCTGTGCCATTTCTGAAGGAAAGGACAGCTAGGGAGGTGAGTCAATGTTGCGTGTTACTGTTTCTCACATCATCATAGACCATCTTGCAGCATACTCCCGGATCCCCTC